CCCCCCCCATTGCTAAGAGCGATTATCTTCGCCGCCATCTAAAAGCACATTAAGTATCATTTGCTTTTTGGAGTGCAGCATTAGCGACGTTAAGGAGACGCGCTAAATTGCTAGCCATCATGTTATTTGTCGGAAGAGCCCACTCGCACCCCGGTGAGGGGGGGGGGGGGGGGGAGAACGGAGATGCCATCTGTTTACATGTATATGCATGACTCCATCGGCTGCCCCCCCCCACCGACACACAGCGGTGAGCTCCAGCTTCTTGTCTCTCAGTCCACTTAAAGAAGGAGCTTATTTTAGAGACCCCACCCCCCGCCCCTAAAATAAGCCTTTGACAGCATAATTGTGCAGTCCCAGTAGGTGGTGGTATGGGTGGGAGGAGGTGGGACCCCTTCCCTTCTCCTGACACCCACCTCTGGCTTTGGAGGAGAGGGGGTGAGACCCAAGGCTGAGCGATGCACGTGATGTCACCTTTCCCTATTCTCTTTTGGACAGGCGTCGGCTCGTCGTGCAGCTATCGTTTAACAGGTCTGAAATCTCCTGATGGAGGCTTGGCCTTAAAGGGACAATGCATATCGATGGTGCCAATTAGGCTCAGGACACTGAAAAGGGAGCTTTCACGCAGCGCTGACCTCAGCGGGGTTTCCCCTTGGAGAGATGCCGCCGTTCCGTGTTCCTTTAAGGGCCCGTCTGGAACAAAGGCAAAGCAGATGGTTCAGGAACACCTACCCACTTAACTTCTTAATGTGGGACCTTCAAGACAGGTCACTTCTGCGGTTTGGAGGCCACACTGTGGCAGGGAGAATTTAAGCAGACAACAGACTGGAATATGCCTTTTCCTGAGTTTATATTTGTAGGGGAAAGAGTTTAGACCAACTAAGAAGATAAATGACAAGTGGAAAGAATTTGCTTGTGGAAGTTCTCAAACATATTCTGAGGGCAGAAGGAACAATGATACAGAGAGATAACCAATAACTATAGGAGGTGGGACCAACCAATCAGATATCTTGGTCCTGCCTTGTCTAGTTTCTGGGACCCACCTCCTCTACAATTTGATTGGTCATCTCTCTGAACCAGTCAATACTTTGGAATGTTTTTTTATACTGAAAAAATAGAATTATAAGAGATAGTTTTTCTTCTTTTTTTTCTTCTTCTTCTTTCTTTCTATGTTGTGATTATTGGGACAGAAAGTGACCAGGTCTAATTTCAGAGCCACACACCAGCAGTGATCTATATCCCGTGCCCCCCCAGCCCCACCAGGGCTAAGGACTGACCCCAGCGGTCCGTTCCCTCATCCGTGCCCAGTCTGACCCTGCAGTCGCTGCGTTCAGCCGGGAAAAGAAGCAGCGGGCAGATTGACACTAACGGACTTGATCGCTCCTGACATTTTTATTAAACGTGGTAATTAAGCTGGTTCTGACCAACGAGCAGCCGTGACTAACAGCCCCTCCCCCTTCCTCTGTTATGACCCGCCCACTCCGCAGGTGCCTCCGGAAGGACCGCTGCGAGCGTGCAAATGAGCCTTTCCGCTTTGCGGCGGTGCTCAGCCAGTGCGTGAAGGTGACGGTCTACCCCGACAGCATCGCCGTGTCCGAGCCCAGCGTGTCGGTGAGTCTGCATCCCTGCTTGTCTCCTTCTTCATCTGATGGCCTCTGCAGGTTCATTATTACTCAGAATAGCCTCTCTGGCCTGTTTTATGCAGTACATTTAAATAAGATGTTGCTGGGCAGAAGCCCCATAAAGTTACCTCCTGCTTACTGCGCCTTCTGGTGGTAGGGTACATAACTGCAATGTCACTGACTGGCTGATCAGTCAGCAGAAGTTGGTGGTTTCTACCTTAGATCTGGTTTGTGTGCATTCTTCTCTCTACATGGTTATCCTTGCCGTCTTGGCTGCTGTAATCCGTTATCTCTGCCCATCATGCCTGAGAAACGCAAGCCGTTCCGCCAAAGGCAGTAAAGCGGAACTCTCTGGTCCAACTCCCAATGGGCGAACAGCGTTTCTCCCAGTTCAGAGTGATCTGACTCCCAGTGAGGAAAAGGTGGATTACTGCCTCCCCGCATTCCGGCACGTTCCGGCAGACCTCCCTGCTCCCTCAGACGGATCACATAGAGCGCCGTCGACAGGCGAGGGTCTGGGAATCTTTGGTCGCTGGGAAGCCATCACCATGGCAACCGAGCCATCCTTCTCCCCTGGAGCCAGGGGGAACAATCACCTTTGCTGAGATGCATGCTGTAATTAGAGATGCACTACACCGACGGGCTGCCCCCCCGCCCCCCCATTAATCGGAAAGTGGTTTGTCAGCCCTGATTTCTTTGTGGGAAGCCCTGGCTGTCGCCGTATCTGCTCGGGATGTGACTCTTCTCTGAAGGTGCTTCCATTTTGGGGAAATGGGGGTGGGGGGGGGGTTCAGCTTTCTTGGGAAATGCCACGGTGATAATGAAGCAGGCTGCTGCCTTCCCCCAGCCCGCTGATGAGGCTCATCACTAGTACCCCTTCCCTTTACTGCAAAGCCAGGTACCTCTGTCGCTGACCATGCCCCCCCCCATCACTCCCCCAGCTTGTCCTCAAGGTGAGCGATGTGCCCGACCTCTCTGCCGGCGTCACCTGCTCCTTCGGCAACCTCACCGAAGTCGATGGCGTCGTCAGCGGCAACCAAATCCTGTGTGTGTCTCCTTCCTCCAAAGACATCCCACTCATCCCGACCGACCAAGGTGAGATTCCCGAGGGGGCGTGGCTGAGGAGCATCCAATAGGCTCAGCCGTCTCTGTGAAAGGGGGGGGGGGGGGGGGGCAGGTGCGCAGTCATAATGCAAACCAGTCCCAATTGCAGGCAATGCGTTCACCTGGTGGTTAAAATCCTAGTCTTGCAGACCGTCCTCCAGCAGGGTCCCTTATTAATGTACTGACTACTGCAGGCACAGGACAAAGGTCCAATTTTCTGATTTTCTGATGTGTTGGGCGTAAGACAGACCATAATTCATACAGAGGGGCCAACTTCATCATTAGCGAATGACATGTTTTGAATCTGTGAGTGACAGCAGAGGGGGCACTCCTGTAGCCAATCAGCTTTTAGCTGGGGTGGTGCCCCTATGTTCTTGCCCCAAAAATATATAACTTCTTCAAACTTTCCCTGGCACCTTTCTGTGTTGTTTGTGCCCCCACTGTCTCCCCTTCCCCTGCCCCACCCTCACCTTCCCTCACGCCTGCTGAGGACCATCGACCGGCCGTGTACTTTTAAAGTTGTTAAATCCCCCCCACGGCTCCGCGATCAGACAGTGCTGCGTCAGTGCCCGCCTCTCCACCTGTCCTGTTCCTGGGAGCGTGCCCCAAGCTGAGCCGACACTCATTAGCCGTAATTGGCCGCCAGCACTGTGCCGCCCGCACCTCTGCCCGAAAAAGTGCTAATGGACACCTCTTGCACCTGATTGGCTGGAGAGTGGTCAGTGGTGCGGTGGTCAGGGCGAATGGAGCCTCTTTTCTGAGACCGGAGGAACCAAAATGATTGAGATGTGCGGCCTGGGCTAGAAAGGTGTAACAACTGCCAAAAGCGCTGTGCTTTTTCCGGGCCGGCTGCTCAGCTGGGTCAGACCCTCTTACTGCTGCTGCTGTAGTCATTTTCCTCAGTGAAAGGACTCCTCTTAATCACAACCAATAAAGAGTCAACTCCATACATGACGGGAAGGGTTTGGGCTTGATGCAGCAGATAAAAAGAATAATGGAATGATGTTTATTCCCACTTTAAGAGGATGGTGCCGATGGAGGCCATGTGGCTCGGAGGTCAGGACATTGTGCTTGGAAGGTCTTAGGTTCAAATCCCCGCCTGAGCACAGTCATTTTTACCATAAGGCCCGTGAACCTAGTTGCTCCAGGGAATGGCTGGACCCTGCCTTCTCAATTCTACATCACCTTGGAATTAAAAGCATTTGGTAAATAAAAATCCATGCAGGATTCACAGTGTCTGTGAACCAGTCCAACTTATTTAAATAACTGAAGTTAATGAGGGAGATTATTTGTGGTTAGGATGTTCATCTGCACCCTAAGCCCAGGAGACAAGGCCCACATCAGCAGGTCCCTGACTCCGCCTCCCTCCATAAAAGGAGGAGGACAAGGAGAAGAGAGCTGCCACCATTTGTTGTGCATGGAAACATGAAAGCAGCTATGGCACAACTGCCCTCATGTCGCTGTGCATGATGGGAAATCTGGGTCTGTGTGTCCCCCCCCCACATTCACACACACACTATCTAGCCTGCGGGGGAAAAGAGGAATGTTAAAATAAGTGCTTGGCAGGAAGGACGAGACTAAATTTGAATTGCAACAGGTGCAGTGGGGAGAGCAATAAGCAGAGGTCACCGGGAACTCCCACTCACCGCTCGCCGCTCGTGGAGAAAGAAGCACACACAAGCTGTGAAGAAATAATGTTTAAAAAATGGAGACTGGCAAGATTAAACCTCCCTTCACGATTCACATGCTGGACGGGAGCACATGCATGTTCAGGCGCCTGGCTTCCCCAGGGGATTTGAACTCATCACATTCTGGTGTTATATCCTCACAGAGGGTAGGGGGTTCGGATCCCACTGACTTAGCAGGTGTTTTAGCGTGGTAGCATGGTTAAGGACCAGCCGCTGAGTCCAAGCAGATTGGAGTCACCCTGGGTTGACACCTCGTTAACAAAGCAGTGTCGGTTGACTAAGCAGTGCTCAGAGATGCTAAAAAAGGTTAGCCTCTTAGCCTATTTCCCCTCCCTCTGGGGTGTCGCTATGGAGCATATGCCCACACAACGGTTTGCCACCCCCAACTCCTCCTCCTCACGGACAAATTTTACCATCACCAACACCCCCGGAATGAAAATCTTGGGCCTGGCTGTGGGATTTGTTCTGCTGCTATAACTAGCTGTACCGACAGTAACTAACTAGCCTGTAAGTTAATGTTAAGTTCAGTACCTGCAGGGGTCCACAGCTTCTGAGTGTCCCTGAGACACCGTTGGGGACAGCTGGGCGGAAGCGGTGTGGGGTGTCGCCGGACCGGACCGGGCCTGGCAGGGTGGGGCGGGGTCTCCGGGCAGCAGGCCAGGTCTCAGCCTTCCCAGTCTGGCCCACCATCCGGGTCCGGAGCCGCCCGGCGTTGCTTCGCCCCTGGCACCTGCCACCATCCGGCCCCCCTGCTGGGGGGCGGGGCCAGATCCGGGGCTCCTCCTGCATAATTATGCAATTTATGCATAATCGTGCATGAGCTCGCCTCTGTGTCCCCAAGGAAAAAATGTACTGCATTTTCTGGGGGGTCGGGAGGGTCACATGACGGCATGTTTTATATGAGATATATTATTATCACAAATTCATATTTTTAGTGTTAGTAGTATATGTAATAAATAAATAGGTAAAAACTGTATATTTTTGTACTGTACATTTATAGAAATTGTTACAGGCCCTGTTCCTCTGCGCCCCACATACAGTAATATGTACAAATACGTCACGATTATCTTGACCATCCTGAGCTGATTATATCTCGATTGCTTCCGCCTCTCCTCGGTTTGGTGCGCTTTCAGTTGTTTACGCTGGAGGTACTGACTCATGTCTTGCCAAGGAGGCACCTGTATGGGGGGGGAGGGGGCGGGAGAGGTAGT